AAATTCTTAAAGAAAAACACTCTGGAAGTGAATTTCTTAAAGAACAATGCTCCAGAAGTGAAATTCTTAAAGAAAAGTGTTCCAGAAGCGAATTTCTTAAAGAAAAATGCTTTGAAAGTGAATTTCTTAAAGAATGACACTTTGGGAGTGTAATTCTTAAAGAATGACACTCTGGAAACATAATTTTTAAAGAAAATGTTCTGGAAGCATTTTCGCTTCAAGAGAATCAATTTGGAGATGTTTCTCTTGAATGAAACTATTTCAGAGACAATTCTCTTGAAGGAAATCGCTTTTCAGAACTTTTCAAATATTTCAAAATTTTTTTTCAGATTTTTATTAATGATGTAAGCCATATGAGCTGGCTTGTTTGGCTTGCGAGCTTGCTCAGCTTGCCACATTTTGGACTTGAGCCAAGCCGGCTTGTGAGCTGAAATAATTCAGCTCAGCTCGAGCCGATAGTGAGCTGGCTCATGCAGAGCTTTAGTAAAAGCTATCTTTGAAATTTTTTAGTGCAATTATTAATAATTTTCTTTATTAAAATTTTAGAATAACTTTATTTTAATATTTCATTGTAAAAAATTAAAAATTTTTATATTTGATTTGATTTGATTTGATTTGACAAATATTTGATTCAATTTGATTTGATTCGATCAAATATTTGTGTTCAATTCGATTCAATTCAATTCGATTTGAAAAAATCAAATCAAATTCAATTTGCTTAAATATTTAATTTGATTCGATTTTGAAGAACCTTAACAGGAGCTCTGTTCTAGAGAAGAGTTCTGGATCATTTAATTCATATGGGTACTCACTTTTTTGTGTAAGTAGCAGAAGTAAATATTAAGGAATACTCTATACCATAATTGGAAAACATTTAGCAATTGTTCTGGAGTCTTTTCTTGATCACACAACTTTTTCTAACGATAGAATTGAAATTGGCAGGAATCTATAAATTTGATTTGACCAATTATTATCATTTTATAATTTTCCATATTATCTGCAATTATTTCAATTTTGTCTTTATTAACTAGATCTAATTCCCATACTTCATGATGAAAGTCATAATGCTTTTTACCATGATATATCAATGGAATCTTAATTTCATCTGGCTTTATTCAGAGTTGAAGATTACAGTCACAATATGCTAGACTATGATATTTTCTGGTAAAATAGTCATGATCTCTAACCCTATTATCATTTATATCAACTCAAAGTTTCATTTTGCATAAATAGCATTCGGTTGCTTTTTTGAATATATCATTCTCTTCTATACTTAAGCCTTCTATACAATACATAGCTTCCATTAGGTTTTTTTCTGTGTCTTCATATTTGATTTTAACACAACCATAATGTGCACTGTCTATGAATTTTCTGACTGAAACAAAATATTTTACTTTATTATATCGGGTTTCATGTAGCCTTTCTTCACATATGTAACATCTTATGGCAAAGTTATGTATTCGCTAATCACGCTCTGTCATCTTTATTTTTTCTGGATTGCGTAATTTTAGTTAGATAATTTCTTCTAAGTCACGTTACGTTGCATACTTTCCATAACTCTGCAATTGAGTTCAGAGTTTGTCTAACAATTTCTTTTGCTAGCTTTCCATCTATTTGCATTAAAACATAACTATAACTATTAGGCTTCTGCTTTTGTAGTTTTATGGTCTTTTCATTGATAATATTATTTTCCATCAGATCATTATCTGCTTTGAGATCCTTAATAAAAATCAATGGAACATTTTCTATTGTCTTATAGTTTTTAAATTTCATGATATGCATTCTATTTTCTGAAAAATTTCTCTTTGGCCAGCATTAGGATTATTTTGACCATAATAGTTATGCTTTATATGCTCTTCGAGTAGATCTAATCAAGTGAATGGAGCAATTATGCAGTATTAGCAGAAATATTTTCATCTATGATACTTATTCCAATTACGCATGATTCAGTTTCACCTATTTTTCTTATTAATGAGATAGTAATGTGTATTTAGCTCTTTTGGTATATCGTTAATATTATGACAGTCTCTCAAGTCTTCCTTCCTTTCAGTAAATAATATTAAATCTACCATGTTTTTTCTTTAATAATTATATTCTAATATGCAGAGTGGGTCTAACTTTCTAGTTGCCTGCTCTTTGTCATTTTTTGCTAGCGCAGGATAAAATACATTCACTGCATAATTTGGGTTATTTCTTTAAATTTATCAATATCATGCAATGTGACTGGAAAAATTTATACTGGAGAAGTTTAGTATATGGGTTGTAATTTAAGAAAATCAAGTTCTGAGAATTTTTTATCAAAATTGAGATTTTAATTGCATTTTAATTTTTATTACATTTAGATTAAAATGTTATAAGATATTAGATTTCTTGCTCTAGAACCCTGTTTACGAGCTTCTTCACTGGCTAAATATGCTTTTTTATATGCTTCAAAACATTATTTTATCTGTATTTTGCGGATTAATCATTCCTAGTTGAGACTGGTCCATATTTTTGATAATACGAAATGAGATCTACCACAAAGTGGCTGATATGTACTTATTTCTAGAAAGATTTTTTTACTGTAATCATAAATCAAACCTGAATTTTGATTTTGCTTCATTTCATCGATTTTATCTAAGATTTCATTATATTGATGTGAAACTGTTTGGTCTATTCGATCATGACGAATATTATTCAGAATTTCACTTGGAAATGCTATATCTTGATTTAACCTTGGTTATAAAATCCTCCTACTATTACAAATTGATACATATGAGCTATGAGGACTATCTTTATTTTAATGTCTCCTAAACGCGCTAATTCACTTTTATAAACTTCACTAATTTGGTCTTCTACATCCTCAAACATGACTAAGGGATCTTTTCAATATGGATAAGTTTCTGAAGTAATAGTAAGATGATCAACACATAAACCTTGATCATAAATTCTTTTAGTTTCTACTAATCTTTTCAGAGCTAGATCTTTTATTCTTCGAAATATTATTTTGTTTTCTTCTTTAGATTTAGTCTCATTATCAGATTCGGAATCAGATTCTGCTTCATCTTCATCTTCATCAGTAATCTCATAGTTGCTATCCTTCTTTGACTCTAGCTCTTCTTCTGGTTCAGAAGGTTTGGTTGACTTAGGTGGTACTAGTGTCAGGTCTTTCCAGCTTAGTAAAAAGTTTCCGAATAACATCTTAATGCATTGGTAATACTACCTAGTATTCTGCTCATTTTTTCACAAAAAGTATATATAGTTACAAAAAGTTTAAAATAAAAATTAATTTATTCAGATAATTAGAGTTACATATTTATTCAAAAGAAGAAATTAGCATGGGATTTTATAATTGTTCTTATATTCTTAGAACTAGAGAGATATGCAATAATAGGTGCTATCAGCTAAAAGGATATAAAGTTCATTGGAATTCTTCTAGATAAATTTTGTATATAGAATGCGGAAAATTGACTTTCTCTATTTATAGTGCCTGTAGAAAACATGCAGGTAAATATCACATTCAAAATTTTTATCAATATCAAAAGCTTGCAAAAATTCAGACTAGTGACGGATTAGTGATAGGCTAGTGCTAGAGATACGTATTTATTTTTTTGATATCCGGAATGATCTTTTGGAAGTCAATAGGCTTTTTGTGCTAAAAAAAGTTACTACTAGAATACAAATGATTATAAAGCATTTAATAAGCAAGAAAACAAATTTATTTCCTTAGATTTGTAAGTATTATTACATTAAGTTTACGTTATATAAAAACTTTTGATATATAAGACGATCTTCTGAGACCATTTGGATGAAATGTGCCAAAAATTTCTGGTTTTTTAGGATAGCAAGTAAAAGGGGAATGAACTTTAAAATAGATATGATATCAAATAGGAATCTAAAAAAAGGTTTAAACCTATATAAAAGAAAATATGATACTCAGAATAATCTCCTGGAAGCATTTGGACGTAATATGCCAAAAAGCCTATTTCTCTACTACTATACAATATATCATATTCTTAACAAACTAACTTCTAGTCTAAATCCTTTTTATCACAGAATTTTATTCTCAATAATTACTAATTCAACTAAATAAAAAAGTTTATATATATGGGTGGTATGCTATTAAAATTGAGATATAGATCATATAATTTATTATGTCTTGTATCTTAATTTTAATAACATACATACCACTCATATTAGTTTAGATTATATCTTACTCTTCAAATAATAGTTATAGAATTTTCTTGTTTACATATTTATTGCTTATAACAGATGTTTTATCTATTTTTAGAATGTAAAATGAACAAAGAAAATAAAGAAAAGATGTATTACAATTCACAAGAAATTTTAATATAGAAATTTATTTTATTAAATATATTTTAGAATTTTGATATTTCCTATTTTAAATAAAAAGTTTACAGATACTATCTCTTAAATGATAATGATTTTTTTATGCAAAAGTCTACATAAAAACTTACAATTTTTAGTTATAAAATTTATTATAAATCTATTATTTTTAAATAAAATGTGAAACCGGAGACTGCTATTTTTTTTATAGATAAAAGATTTAACGATTAATCCGACTTATATTTGGCGGAATGACTTTACAGAAATATACAATTAAAAAATAAAATCACACGATTTTTCTTATAAAAGAATTGATATTTTCTTTGATATTGTAAGATTGAAAAGAATCGTTTGAATGTTTTATATTCTTTTCTTTGCACTTATTTCTTTATGGTAATACAGATCAGCCATAATGATTGTCATTAATTATTTAAGTATGGATTTGGGATTTAAACATAATTTATTTATTATAACAGCTGATTTGGACAAAAAATTCGGCTGAAATGTATTAGATGAGATATGGGTAATAAACGAACCTTTTTAATCATTCGGTCGAAAAGATGCCATACTACACGTGATCCTTCGGAAGTTTTGTTATGGAGAGATCATTGATCCACAACCGTAATTGGCTACAATGAATATGGCCTGACTATTTGTGGTCCCACAAATTGTAAATGGGAATATTCTTCACACCTATACATCCTAAAAATGACGAGTTTTTCGCGGGGTATCCACATTTTTTGTTAGTTTAAAAAGGAAATCCCTCCACATGCTGGGAATTTCCGCTGTGGCGAATGATAATCTGTCATATGACCTTTTTTCCAAAATACAATAAATAACCAAAGTATTCGATAAAAAATCAAAAAACTTTTTGAAATACAATATCAACTAAAATAAAAAAAATAATCAAATCAAATATGATTTCCGATGTGAACGACAAAAAACAACGTAGTAATACACTTTCCACTAGATCAAGACAACGTCGATTATCTTATGATCGTAATCAATATAACAGAGAAATGTTCAATAAAGCGTACACTTTACCAACTCCTATTATTACGACGGAACCTATGACGACTAAGGAATTAACTCGTTCTACTTCTAGCTCTAGCTCTATCTCGGCTCCGGTTCTCAATTATCATTATTTTGACGAACCTTACTCTTACACTGGTCTCTCTAGTCCAAAATTAAATCCTATTTGTTCTGAATCGCTTATTTCAAGATCGAAAAATGAGCAAAAATATAGAGATCTTGGTAAAGAAATCACGGATAATTTCTTGTTTAAGGATAGTTGGCCACAAGAAATTGTGGGAATTACACACCATGAAAAAGTAGAATCAAGAAAAATTCCGAATAATATATAAAAAATTATGAAATTATTAGATATCCTCTTTTAAAATTTCTCACTTATCTCAAAAAACTTCACGTTTTTTTCTCCATGTTTTTTTTAAATCATTAATGTATCTTAATGTATGTAAATAAAAATAATAATAAATCAATTATACACATAATTATCCACGTGCAAATGCTTAGATTTAAAGGTGAAAGCGCAAAGGCAATTTTTTTTTCTTTTTGAATCGATAACACAATGCTTATTATTTCTCACTTGATAATTCACCTTTGATTCAATTCAAATCAGCCGCTGATAATTGGGTAAAGTAATAATTTATAATTTTGATTTTATCTCCTCCGTTTACATTAAACATATTTAAAAAAAATAATTCATAATACATGGATCATTATATTAATGAATATTAATATAATCCGGAAAGCCAAGTCCATCATGCGGGAAGCGAAGGTTGAATTCTCTCCTTAAGGATTATGTTATTTCCACGTTTAGTGTTACGATTGTAAATCACATAACATGCATACCTACATTTATGGTGGCGATTTACATCCGGGATCATCAGAGGAACCAAGTTTTGTAGAGTTGGTTCAATTGTCTGTATGGGTTCTTTGAGTCTCTTTTTTTCTTCCACTTGGTGATGTGTCAGGAGGATCTTCCTTCTGTTGATTGGCGGTGGAGGGTTTTTCTTCTTTTGGTCCTTTTGGTGGTGTGGTGATGGCAGAGATTTTTTTTCTTTTGGTTTTCATGGTTCTCCACCAAATACCATCTGTTATCAATTGGATTCTTAAATAGTTCGAGATATAAAAGTAAATATCACCACAAGTCTTAGATAGAATAAGTTACATAACAGAGCATAATAGATGTCTAAAAATTTTTTAAGAGGATTATTCGTAAATTATTTTTAAAGATGTTTCAAAAAGAACAAAGGAAATTTATGTATGAACCAGAAACATCGGTATGATCACTAATTAGGTATAGATCATTTTTATTTTAAATTATATTTTAATTGGAACCTTCTGTATTTTTTTTTTTAATTAATGAATCCTTTGATCGAACTTCATTTTCTATCAAAAAAGTTAGATTGAAAAACCAATCTATAAGCATACAAATTGATTTTAAAAAAGCTTTTTTATTTCTTTTTGGCTTCGCTTGCACCAAAGTCTAGATCGATAATGAAAATTGAACCTATATTAGGAAATTCGATTAATTAAAGATAACAAATTACGAATATCTTTCCAGATCAAAAATATTTCCATATTGGATCTTCATTAACGGCAAAACCCCCATTGACATTTGATATTATTATCTGCCCACCTTTAAATCTTGCCTAATATATCCTTTAACTCAAATTTTAAAATTACCCGCCAATCGCGTAATTTAATTGATAGAATCGGGATTCAAATCAGGTCTAATTCGGAATATCCGAAAACATACATGCAATCATTTCGAAGTTTTTTGTTATTGTTATTGATATCACGATTAAATGCATTTGAATTAGAATATCAATTTTTCCACCTTTCCAAAAAAGTTCTTTTTACGATTTTCACACATATTTTACAAATTTATGTTAGTGAGTACAAAAAATGATTGTGTATATTTGAATTTTATATAATCTGCTTGTTGCCTCGATCACTATTGTTTTGAATTCCTGATTCGTCATGAAATATTATTTTGCTTGTCTCCATTTATGTTGATCCCTTTTATTTATCATACCTCGTCACACCATTTTTACTAGACTTTGAAATTTTTTCTTTATGGAAATCCTAACCGTCACACATAGCGTTTGACCTCTAATATGTTACATGGTCGGCACAGATTACAGACTGCTCATAGAAGAATATCAACCTTTAGTTTTCTCGAGCACGAACAAATTGTGTGCGCCAGAATTATTATCTTTGTACCATGGTCACACTTTGAAACAATACTTCTGAATAAAATAAAATACCATAGCGAAATGATGAATTAAAAAATATCTTATTTTATATTTTAAATATGTAAGCATTAATGAAATTAAAATTTTGTAATTGATTATAAACAGATTATATTCGTAACATCAAATTACAACTCGTATCAACCCAATGTTATTATTTTTCCTATCGCTATCACGTGTGATCCATCCATCACCGATTATATTAACGTAGCCCGCGTGATGAAATTGATACACGATGTTTTATAAAAAAGCAAAAATACATCGAATGTAAAGCTCAATTTAAATCTATTAACCATTTTGTTATGTGTAATAATGAATGCGTTGCGCTTAATGAGCGAAACCATATAATTAAATTATCAAAAATTTGCGTAATGACATCGTAATTTTAATTACACTTTGAAGTTCAAATATTCTTTTAGATGCGCGATTTTTTTTGTACACAATCCAATCCACTAATATACAGTACATTTGATACAATGTTACAAACACTCCTATGGTTCTTTTAAAAAAAAAAGGCCATATGTTTAACGTATCGCCTAATCGGTGGGAATATTTGCTTATGTGTTTTCAGCACCGAGTTACCTGTGAACAGTTTTTTTTTATTTGCGAGGTCAGATCGAATTTGTCTATTACATGTCACAATTATATCTATCTAATCATAAAAGGTTTAAAAATAGCAAAAAAAAAAAAAAACGGAAATTCTAAAAACATTTACGCCACTTTACTTCTTAAATTATGTGAAACAAAAAGATTCCATGTAAATTCAGGGGCACTTCATGTGATTTTTTTTATAAAAACTAGTTTAATTCAGGTTTATATGTGGTCCATGCGTATATATTTATTATTACTTTGCCAGAGAATGCACTATACCGATCGTTTACCGTTTGATCAGTGCGCTTTTGTTTATTTTTATTTCATATATATTATTTTAAATGCGATAGTAAAATTCTGCCAAGCAATTTGTGCATATTATCAAATGGAATAATAAAAAAAGAATTTTATTTTCATTACAAATGTTTGAATGTCAACAAACAACATGTGACTCATTTTCTATTGCATGAATAGAACACGAGTAAATGCATTTCCTTTTCGTAATTAACATTAGGAAGGGTTAAAAGTAGAAATTTGAAAGAGGATGAACACGCGAAGATTTGTGAATTGCATGAATGACACAAATCGCTTTAAATTATGAGATTTTAAAATTGCTAGATTGAGTTGGTTGTAATTTATTTGGAAAAGATTGTTGCATAATTGCAATATTTTTTGTATCACTTCACGGGGACGAACAAAATGAACGTTTTGTTTCTTTTTGGATGAAACATCAAAAAAATTTTTTCCCCCTGAACATATCCAAAAACGTGAATTTGACAGATTTCTTGTCAATCAAGCTTATCCTCGAAATATTTACAAAAAAAAAAATAATTTTTTTTTTTTAAAACGTAACTTAATTAAGAATGTTTCAATTATTAATCACAATATTTATTGTGATTAACTTATTTCTGGATTCTTATTGGGAACTAATCGCCATGATCAATATTTTTTTTTTTCGACCCATCGAATAATTTGATTTTATTGTTTGGAGTGCTGATCCTTACCGAGTACAGTTAGATAACAAATTTATGGAATAATGGAAAATAATAGAAAATTTAAAAAAAAAAAAAAAATTATAAATTCGGAATAAAAACTATTGGTAGAAATTTATTCCTAACATTCGCTAAAACGAGTAAAAATATTCCACATATTTATTTCTTTATTAGTAGAATTAATAATTTTTTTTTGATCATAATTAGTAAGGTTGAATGTGGGAAGCACATGAATACAAACATTAACCAAAAAAAAAATTTCCCAAGATAATTCAAGTGAAAAAAAAAAAGAACATTTAATTTTTCACGCGGACTCGAGGATAATTTATATAAACTGCGGCATATTACAGGATCGGGATCCCAAATAAGTAAGAATGTCCAAACAGTGAAGGAGTACGTGTGATTTTCAATTACATTTTTTTGCTTTTTTTAAAAAAAGGAAGATGCCAGATTATATTAATTTGATCGACTCAAATGATATCCTTATTCAATTGAGCTGCACAAGTTTAAAAAATAATAGATCGATAAAAATTAACCCCAAACAATTTGTGTTATGTAACGGACTTTAGTACGACCACGGAGGAAGGTACTTTCATGTTTATTACGAATTTTTTTTTTAAGAAATAAAAAGAAGATAATAATAAAGAAAGAAGAAAAAAAAAAAAAAAAAAATAGATGAAAACGGGAAACTCTCTCTGCGTGTGATAAAAAGTGTTAAAAGAAAATAATGTACATAATCATAGATTCATATTACAAGATTTGCGAGTTTTAAGATATATAACGACGAGAAAATTAAACGAAATAAATAGAAGGTATACGTTTCGATTTAATAAAAAGCAAAATAAATAGAAAACTAAGCTTATTAAATTTTTTGAATTTTAAATATGTTTTTGATATAATGATCGGATCTTACAATTATTTTAAAGGTATTTTGGTATCTGTGCACTTGTATACAATAAAATCGAAAATGAATGTACGAGTTGGTGATGAAGACAGAGTTTTTGTCTCACAAATAAATGTATTGGTAACGACTTTTTTCTTTGGTATATCTGAATGTCACGTAGGATAAGCATTATGATAACGGTCTTTTTGATAGAGTCGGTGACAATTCCTGAAGGAAACAAATCGTTCGTTTGCAAAACATCAATAAAATACTTTTTTTTTTAGAAGAAAAAAAATATCGAACTACTTGCTGCTCATTTATTCTTCTATATATATGTGATCTTGTAGTAAGAAGTGTTAATATAAATACCTATTATAATCGATTACCTAAACGATAGATAGAATATATATATATTCTTTCTTTATTTCTGTCAGTTGGCATTCTGAAACAAAAGAACCAACCGAAAATATTTAGTCGAGAAAAATGTTCCTTCCGCTGAAAGGATAATTAATGCATTGAGTTTCGCCGGTAGAATTCAATCTAAAAGAAGAAAGAAAATGAATTTTCCTTTTAGAATAAAAAAATTTAATTACATTGGAAAAGGTTGACACTTACAAAGGTTTATTAAAAAAAAATATCATGAATTAAAAGAATGAAAAGCGAAATCAAGAAACCATATTTCAGGTTTAAAGGTCAAGAAGGAAATTCTCTAGCGCGCTCCATTTGTGCCGCTTGTGCCGTAAATATATACAAATTTTCGTGTCATACGTTTTTTATCAACTGAGTTTGGCTGATTATCAAATTTGGAATAATTCGTTTAATTTTACCATAATCAAGTAAGATCAGGATTTATTATAATTCGATTGACAAAGTGTTATTATGTAAAAAAAATTTTTTTAAATTGTTGTAATAACCGATCATGACTAAAAATGCAGGTTGTACAGAGTAAAAAAAAAATTATATGCAAGCTTGTATATGCAGGTAAATTCGGTGACAAATTTAATTTGGCCAATTGTGTAAATAATAACTTCGCTTTTTTCTTGATCAGTTGTCAATGTAACAAGTTGGCGTCCCGACTTCCGAATATGAATCCCATTTATATACATTGTTAGCCATAATATACCATGTGACCAATTCATTAGTCATAGAACATACATTGTTAAAATAAAAATTATTACGTTACGAAAGATTCTCCACATTGGGTAAATGATTCTGGTCCGTGGTTATTTGTTTGTATAATTTTATCAATTTATTAAGGTATGTGTAATGTTTAAAAATATGTAATTATATAATTTTTTTTCCAAGATAATTTTAATTTGAAAGTTATTGAAATAACTTTTCCAGTTTAATAACGCCATATTTCCTTGATTTTTTTTATTTAATCTGAAAATATCCGAATCAATCGGGGAAAGATTTTCAATTCATGACCTAATTGTGTGAGAAATAATTTTTGATTCATCTTTAAAACCTGAATATTTTGACTTAAACTACTTAATATGGGAAGATGGCTGGAATGCACAGACTTTGTTCAAAAGCGAACGTAAAATAGCACATTCCTCGTAAAGTGAAATATTATGAATTCTTTCGTGAAGAATGAAATACCATACCAACAATATACATACATACCGTATCTATTTTTTTTACGAAGTTCGCATCGTGACATTTTCACAATCTTTAATTTCGTCAAATTTCTCGGCCACTTTTTCTTAATTCTTAATTCTCTTTCAATTCATTAGCATATACCTTTCATATGCTGTGACCAGAGAGGTCATTTTAGTGAAAAAAGCTTGGTACTTTTTATCATGGGAACCATGAGTTGGGAATTTCCTTATAGGAAACGAGATCTACCGTCTTTAAACGTTGTATAAACACTTTTTACATTTTTTTGTTTTTTTTTCGCTACATTTCGGATTAAAGATTTTTTTTTTTACTTACGCTTTCTGTGTACGTGACGCTAGACAGCTTATCCCTGGTAAAGCAATGTTGAGCAGCAAAATGAGACCAAATAAGAGTTGACATTTTATTATCGCGATTAAGGGGCATCCAAGTCGGTATCTCAAACGATAACGGTAGAGTTACCCGGATCAATAGATTCGTTAATCTCGCCCAATCACCATCATTTGTTTCACGTGTTAATTGTTAAAAAAAAGTTCGGTTTTTTATTTTTCAAAATTTCTATTACTATTTGCTTGATTAGATAATCTCCTATAAGCCATCGGTCACCTCTTCATCATTTTCGATATTTATTTTTAAGATGTAATTCCAATTTCTATTTCTTCCTTCAACGTCGGTGCTCTTAATCGAGTTAGGAGCATTACATGAATCTCGATTCGTTAATGGAGATCTCGGTATATCCTTCCAACCTTCATTAATAATATATTGTACCATATTCAATATACCTCCCGCTGCGATAAAATAACTGGCTAAGAAATATAACCAAAGTCGTTCATACTAAATATAAATAAGGTTCGTTAGATTCTTTTTTTTTTAATTTTTTTTTTTGGTTACCTACATTGAGAATATCGGCGATTACGTAAACCATCAATGGAGTCTAAAACGTAATGATCAATATCTTTTTTTTTTATTGCATGAGTTGAAATCACAATACTAATCACTTACCCATTGTACAATATACATCAAAAGATACCCCAGTACTTTCTTTGATGCCTTCAAGAACGGTCCGTTATTATGATCAAATTCGGTGCTAGCAATTTTCCGAAGAATGCTAATGTAAAAAAACAACGTAGATGAAAGAATACAAAAGTCGATGAGGAGGAATATTTTAGGAACTGGTGTGTTGATCGGATGTATAACACCAAAATCCTTCGTTTGTTGATGCTGATATGATTGTTAATACAGTTGCGCCACCGAATGGAATCACAAACAATTTCCAGTCATATTTTCCAAAACTTAAATATACTTTTTTACATACTTTAATTTTTTTTTTTAAAAAAAAATAAAGGAAAAAAAATGGACGTGTTAAAAATTACATTATATATATTATATATATATATAATATATCTATATATTTTTTACATACCTATGAGCCAGCTCATGGCAGAAGACATTCCAACCAAAAGAATGTTTGTAATTGATACGAAAAAGAAGCAGCCAACAATCAAAGAACACTGCGGTTCCGGCCAATTATGTGTGTATATCGTTGGATACAACTACGCAATTTTTAAAAAAAAAGTTTACCGGATTTTCCATGTCTAATTTAATAAAAAATAGAGAATTCTTACCAAATTTGTTGTCTGGAAAATATAAATAAAGAAATCTTTGAAATAAAGGTTGATTAATTAATAATTTAGAAAATTCCAATATTAAAACACATTTGTTCTTGATCTTTACCCAAAATTGCCATGTAAAAAGGTAATTTATAGGCCATCGATAAACATGCACTTGTTCTCCATCGTTTAAATGTCCTATAAATAATATATAGAATACAAATAACTTCGATTTGTAATATCGCAAGACCGATTCCACATAATAAACGAATAACTTCATGTCCTTTCATTTGGTTTCACTGTCGATTCCGGGCGGGTACTATTTTTGAGCGACGATAAATTAGAATTTTCCTTAATTTTGAAGAGAAGATATTGCTTCACAATAAAGTACGAAAACATAGGAAAAATTTTGTAATCAACCTTATCAAAGAATGCATGGCTACAATTATATATTAAATCATTTCCTTAATCATTAAATCTCTCATATAATAAAATCTGAAGACTTTTTAAATGCATTTTTTCAAACAGATAAATGCAAATTTTCTGATCTAATCCAAAAATTAACAAATATTACGATAAAAGGTGTTGTAAGAAAATATATATATATATATTTTTGATTATATAATATTTTATTTGTCAAATTAACAGAATTGATATTGTTTACCATGTAAATTCAAAGAGATACAATGTACTATTTGTATGCACATTGATTTGATCTATTGGAAAAATAATTCAGCGAATTTCTAATGTTATTCTTGGGATTCACTTCTTTGATGTTTCGCATTAAAATGAACTAGTAAAAAGAATAAGGTCGATACGCTGAAAATGATCCGCATGTAATCAAGAAGTTTTGAAACTGTTTACAAAATAATCCACGAATATTATTCTGAAACGGGAATATCTAAATTTTTAGTCTTTTGCATGATCCTTGGTTTATTTGATTCATCTTTTCTTCTCATAAAGAATTTCCTTTTTAAGAAATTTACTATAGATGAGGAAGGGAACGAACATACAATTTAAAACTAAATTAAATGAATCCATGCATCATTTATTTCTATTGAATCGGAAATTGATAACCATCTTCAAGCAAGCAACGTAAAGATTTGTAATATAGGTTACAGAAACATCGATTGAATGCTATGAATGCTTTAAAATTGGTTAAAATGTTCAAAAAAAAATATTCCTTATATGTATATTGGCAAATATTTTTTAACAATTATACTTGTAAAACGGATTTGTAACTTCTTAAATTATCGCTGAAATCATTATGATGTTTAATACGTTAAAGTGCCTACCGTTTTTTAAGAACATATATACCTGATAAGCACATTATAAAAAAAAAGGATGAATACTAGATTAAAACGAATATTAAAAGAATTTTTTGTCTTACTGATTCGGTATAAGTTTTTGGATTGATCTAGAGATGTAACTTTCTATTACATTTTCGGCCAACAATCGAAATGTTGTGTCACATGATATTGAATCAAAACCGAACTTCTCCTTCAAACGAAAAGGTATCTTGTGCACAGTTTCAATTATAAAACATTATAAAATCAGGAGGTAAGAAATTCCTAAAACCTATTCAACTTTTGATGAAATTTTTTCACAGAGGCGCGTCGCATTTTCTGATACTTATTCTAGCCGAATTATCTCACCTTTTAAAAAGATTTTCCTTAAAGCAAAAACTTTCGTTTTTATGTTAATCCTGAAAGATCTTATCGATTTGGTCATTTTGTATGTATTTGGTTTCAAAAAGTGTTAATAAATTTCAAGGATCATGTAATTAATTTGTATAACTTAATTTATTTTATTATTTATAAAAATTTTACAAAAGATAACTTATATATTCTTGTTATAACTTAGAAAAATTTTTTTTCAAGAAAGTTTACCATCAAAAGACAACTTAACTAGTCTAGCAAAACAATCATCGACCAAATAATCTATACCAGTTAATGCGATTCCTTTTGAGGCAGTTAGCGTAGCTTCGTGCGCAAATTCAGTTTTAGCAGCATCAGTGAAACCAGGCGTATGATTAGCACTCCCTTTGGGAGGTTTTATATCAAACATTGCATGAATACCAGGAATCAAATAAGTCACACGTCCTTGATCTGTTGAACCTGCAGGTGTAGCATCTTGCTCTTCCTTTGTCGGAAAAGTTATTCCAAATTTCTTAAGATGTTCCTCATATCTATTACCCAAAGGAACATTTGTTTTCACATCTTATGGGAATAATACAAATCATTTATTTAATGCTTGTTTTTAAGTTGCTTGATAAAAATTCATATCGATAAAAAAAGTTTAAGCAACTAACCAAAGACTTCCCTCTTCCAGAAGATGCTAGGATCTTTGGCTCCATTTTCCTTTGTACATCCAGCTGCTATAGCAGCTGCTTCAAAACATTTATGAACGCGTGGTCTTAGATCGGTCAAATCCTTAATCGTTCTTCCACGAATAAAATATTCTGATGAAGTATTATCTGGAATAACTGGTTTATAGATAACAATTAAAGAACATTTTATTACTTTATATCATATCATTAATATGATGAAAAAAAGTCATTATTATTAAAATACTAACTGTTTGGCGCTTCACCACCATTAGTTATAATTCCATGAATTCTTTTTTTTTTTTTAAAAAAAAAAACACTTGCATTAACAAATCAAATAACAAAGATAATTAATAGTAAATTTAGGAAATACCTATTTGTTGGTAAAATTTGTTGTCGTAATAACCCAATATTATTATAAGCCAAAATCGTGGCATCTAGCGCATTTATTCCTTCCCATGGCGCTCCAGCAGCATGTGCAGTTCTTCCAAAATATTTAACTTCACAAGATTGAAGTGCAAGAAACTTTATGAAACATCCATCAAATGGACTAATAAAGAAAAATAATGATAAGATAGAAAGTTTGTTTAAAGAAAGAAATTAATAACGATTTACCTTGGATGAACCATTAAAGAAATATCAACATCATTGTAAGCACCAGCGTTAACCAAATCAATTTTGCCATTTCCTTTTTCTAAAAAAAAAAAAAAAAAAAATTGAATAATTAAAATCAAAAGATTTGACAATTGGAGGATATTAACCTTCAGCCGGAGTACCAAATAATTTCACAGTTCCGGGAATTTGATACTTTTCAAATACAGTTTTTAATGCAATTGCAGCAGCAACTCCGCTAATTGCAATAAGATCTGATTGCATCATTTAAAGAAAGTTAATTAAAATCCCAAAATCAATTTTTTGTGATTACACTTGAGAAAAAACTTACTATGACCGCAAGCGTGACCGATTTTAGGAAGAGCATCATACCTTACCAAAGAAAATTTATGAAAATGTTCCGTAAATTACAAAACAATTAAATGAGCTATAAATTTTACTTACTCGGAATTAAATGAAACTACTCTACCTCGACCAGCTATGGATTGAAATTCTGCAACAAACGCCGTCTCGAGACCATATGCAGAAGGAGTTACGTTAAATCCTAATTAGATAACCAATATATCATTAAATTGTATGAGAAATTGCCATTAAAATGTTGGAATTCTTACCCTGATCCTGGAGATATTTTACCAACAAACCATGAGCAAATTTTTCTTTATAAGCTAAAAATCGAGCATGTTATGAGTATTTTTCAAACTTCATGTTGCTTTAATGTATAAAATTTACCTAATTCCGGATTTTCATGAATCTGTTATAAATAAAGAGTAATTATTAATAATTATTTTAGAATTTACAATATAACTATTATAGCCACCTTTAAACTGATAGTCCTCAACTCGGAAGATTTATCATCGATTGCTTTAGTTGCAGTTTCTGCATATTCAGTTGTATCTTTGATTTTCATTTTTCGATCTTTTTTTTAAAAAAAAAAATCGGGAACGTATTTAGCAATTATAGTTGACGTTACACGAATATTATTCGCGAATGTGTGCATATCACACGCGTTAAACTATTTTTTTTTCGACACGAATGTGCATTTATAGAAAAAATATATATGCGTGCATTTAGGGAGGGTGTATTTATAGAGGTCTCACTGTATATAAATTTATTTTATACTTGTAGAAAATCAGGTTCTAGCATCAAGCAAAAAAAAATAAAAAAATTCTCAAAACCTGATTTTGCCATTGGGTCTAAATGTATACAATTTCCAGGGTTGGGAATTTTGTATGTACTAGATAAAATTACCACTGTATTTGTACTGTACTTGTACTAATTTTTATATTAATTATTATAATGTACTAACTGTACTAACTGTACTAATCATTGTACTAACACTGTACTTCTTAACCCTGCAATTTCTATTACTATTATTCTAAATTAATTTTTTCTATTTTTATATTTTATTATATTCAAATATCAAAATTTTTAATTAAATAAATATAGTGAGACCTCTCTAAGTGCATGTATGCATTATATATTTTCTCTATAAATTCATATTTCATACAATCTTAAATATATAAAAGATCATATAAAAATTCTCTTTATAAATGAATGTCTTTTTTAAAAATATATTTTTTCATTATAGTTTAAGGGAAAGATGTATTAAAAAAGTCTTACTATATTTCATTTAAATTTTTAATTAAGTAGGTGTTTTATAATTAAATTTAGTCTTTATTTATTACTATTTCTTCATTTTTTAATAATTCAAATTTTTTTATTTCTTTTACAAATTTTATGTATATGGGTAATATGCTATTAAAATTGAGATACAAGACATAATAAATAATATGATCCGTAACTCAATATTAAAAATATAATGATAATTTTTAAACTTACCTAATTATACATATTTATTAAAGTATTAATATATAATTTTTTAAATTATAAATTGTAATTTTATGCAGTGTATAAAATCTAAGTTAAAATTTATGTGCACAAGTTGATTAATTATTACTAAAATAAGAAAATCATAACATT